AGCCCCTCCTGGTCGTGGTGAGGCTCCTCGCGCCCTCCGCCTGGGGTGGACAGGCCGGCTTTGCATGCTTGCGTCCCTTGCTTGTGTGATGCGCCTTCCCCTGCTGATATGCCAAACGCGACTGCACGAGTAGGTCCCCTGTGCTTCCTTTCCCCGCTGTTCCTGCACGCCTGCCCTCGGGTGGGAAAAGTATACTCCATTCTTTCCAGACCGTCACCATATTCTTTATTATTGCTCTGTCGCTGTACAGGTTCAAGATTACTGTTCTCCCATTAGGCTGAGGTCGGGGGCCAGGTGGGCCTCGCACGCCTCCTCATCCAAGCGCTCCTGTTGATCCGCGGCCTCGGCGGCCTGCTCAGGGCGGGACTGCCAGTAGGCATCACTGGCGGCTTGGCGGTCCTGGCGCTCCCGCTCCAGTTCCCGCGCCTGCTCCTCCTCGAAGGCCTTGTCCGCTTGATGTTCCCGCAGTGCCTAGACCTCGCACTCGGCGCAGAGGGTGCCTGGCGACGTACAGACCTTGCAGCCCCAAGGCCCGTGATGGGAGGATGCTGGTGAGGCGGCTGTTGTACTCCGTGGGCTGCTGTTGTCTGCTCTGTTACGGCGTTTTGGCGACGGCGAATTCTCGGATGCTGCAAGAATTAAATTCGATAGTGGTTGGGGGCGGCTCTTCTCCCCTCTGGCTACGTTGGCTCTACTTACAAGAACTCCGCTGCGCGGCGCGGGGCCGAAACCAGGACTGCTTTCGGGGCGGGCTGGTGGGGCTTCTGGCCCCGACGGACCGGCGGCTGCAGCTGGCCCTGGCGGGGCTGCCTCCGGGGTGGACGGGATCACGCTCGTGCTGCTGGCGTCACTGTGGCCGCGGCCACTGCTACTCCCGGCCCGGTCGAGGGTCAGCCAGGATGCATCGCTTTCCGACAGGCCGCTGTCTGGGTCGCTTGAGATGGTGATTGCTCGTGGTGTTCTTGGGTACGTCCCGGGCCACACCACGGAGCTGGGCGACCCGGACCTGCTACCGCTGCTGATCAAGATGGGCTCGGATGGCTTGGCTGGGGCGCCCGCGGGGGCTGCGGCGTGGCATGGGCTACGGAGAGCTCATCAGAGGGCGCTACCCAGCACCCGTCGGCGTAGCTCCACACAGCGATGAGGATAGCATCCGGATTTCCCCAGGCCTGGCCGCTGTCTGCACATCGATTAAGGTAGGACCCTAGTGAAAAAGTGAAAATCGGTCCAGGGGCTCGTAGACCAAAGACTCGACCTTGAAGTTGTGGAACAGAGCTCTCTGATGAAAACAAGATGTGAACGAAATTTTTCCGTCAGAATTTGAGACACCTGGAACTTTTCCCGCACGGGTCCAAGGCCTCTACGGAAAAAGTTCCAGGTGTCTCGAATTTTGACGGAAAAATTTCGTTCACATCTTGTTTTCATCAGAGAGCTCCGTTCTACAACTTCAAGGTCGAGTTTTTGGTCTACGAGCCCCTTGACCGTTTTTAACGTTACTAATCCGACGTTTATGCGATTTTCGGAATCTTTTCACTAGGGTCCTACCTTAACAGCTTCCGATATTCATTTAACAATTCATTGTAGCTGGTCACAATGCTGTGATTCTCGCATTAGGCCCAATTTTGTTGCTAGTTTGTGATGTCTAATTCTGTAAATGCTTCTGCGGATCATTGGAAATTATTCATAAACATTTTCACTGCTAGATTAGAAATAGTAGTATATCAGAAAATAATCGAAGTATACATACCTTCCAAACGTGCCTCGAGATCAGCTATTATTTTCTCAGCATCTGGTTTTGCTTTAGCCATAGTGATGAGCTGATTCGGAACCTTGAATTACGAAAATGGTTACGGTTAGTTGTAGTAGAAATGTGTCAAAGTTGCATTGAGTTAATGGTTGTACGTTTGAGAACATTGAGTAATGAGTTATTGGCTGAGCGACTAGCGAATTTTTTGGGAGGATGTGACCAGCGTAGTCATGCCTTTTAATACATGATTCTTTCTTTGACATGTCTGTCTTCTTTAATTCGGAATCACATACCGATCGACGAGTTTACTTGTGTCTGTTAGCCGATCAGTTGTGGACTTAGAAGTATGTGCCATTCTATATATCCTATATATGTTTTTTGTAACGTATCTGTCAATGGCGGAAGACCACGTGGTTTGAGGGGTTATATTTGTATTTTAAAATTTTACTTCGAGGGAATCGACGTGATACAAAATTGAATTTACTTTAGCAAAGAAATTAGACATGTATAATATTCATGCTGAATTAATGCTGGGTTAGTGGTTGGGTTGCAATAGATTATAGCTGTCATCCATCATTCGTTATTACTTAGAATGTAGGTAACCAAATCAGTACATTGGTTAGTTCCCAAGATTAGTTTGCAGCAGGATTCCATAAGTCATTAATCTTTACAGTTCTTATTGTTATTTTTTGGAGTTAAAGTCATAATTTGCAACGTTTAATGTAGCCTTTAAAATAGGTTACTTATGCAAACTTTTCCCCCAGTATCTATCATTAATAGCAATCATAATAATGCTAAACCTGAAACTTTGACATGTGTTTCGTCGCATTGAGTAATTAACCTTCTTCGTGTTGAGTCCTGGTGTGCATTGTGTTAAACATATCATTTACCGTTCGCTAATATCTGACAAATGTCTTATGTCAGTTTGTGCTAATTACATTCTTTTTGGGTTGGTTAATTTCAGATATGGAAGAGTCACATTGCAATGAAGAAATTCCTATTTCCTTTGGGAATTTAAATGTAACCACTCTCTGTCCTATGAAGAGTGTTGTACTTGAAGATAGAATATTTGATAAGAAAGTGGTACCATCTGCTAAAGTTAATATTACTCAATCAAGTTTGTTGCGCACTGTAACATATTTACCTAGTGCATGTTACGAGTACGCAAAAAATAATGTAGATATTATTAATAAGGCTGGAGCTACTGATGCCCCTTATAATGTATGCTTTTATGGAGCTATTAAATCTGAGAGGAACGTCAGATTTGTTGGGAGAATC